AGAATATGCAACTAACTGTGGAGTGGAGCGTCACTTTCTCAATGGTTTGAAGAACAAAGATCACCATCTATCTAGTCTCAGGCTCTCAGTTGTGGCCGGACGGCCGGACCGGAGAGGAGACTGACTGAGTACAATGGCCAATGCCAATGGTCACCAGTCACTGTCTGGGCTGAGGTGGTGGTTTTTTCCCCTTAACATCTTAACTTCCGGTACTGTTGGCTAGAGTAGGGAAACAACACAAGCTACAAGAAAGGTAAACAAATTTCTTCTAACATCTACATAATATACACAGTACGTAGACTAGTTGCCAGCAACATATAGAAAATCGCCCAAAGACTATTCGTAGGATATAAGACTAGTTGCCAGCAGGCAGCAGCAGCAGTTGCAGTGGGCAGTGGCAATGCAAATAACGCCGTGTTTAGTTTCAGTAAGTTGGAATTTTAGGCTATTGTAGTATTTTCGTTTTTATTTGGCAATTAGTGTTCAAACATAGACTAATTAGGCTCAAAACGTTCGTCTCGCAATTTCCTATCAAACTGTGCAATTAGTTTTTTTTCATCTACATTTAATGCTCCATACACAGGCCGTAAACATTCGATGTGATGGCTACCGTAGCATTTTTTGGGATTTTGGGTTGGAACTCATCATGGTCTAAGGTTCTCGCTTCGTTAGACTTTTAGTAGTAGTATATGTATTATTAAGCTGCAGCTGCTATATATAAAAGCAGGACAAGATCGACTGAGCAGGCAGATTGGGTAGCCTTTTGCAGCGTCGGCTAGCTAGCTCACGCCTCATTTTTAATTCCGGTTTCAATTCATGCTTGCATCCAGAGCCACTCGCTTTCTCGTAAACGATCGTAAATTTTCAGTCGAGAATAGTGTTTTTCTCTCATATCAAATCAGTCAGCAGTAAATAATCCACGATACGATACGGCCTCCCGAACAGGCTGCAGGTCATTCCTCCATCCCTCTCTTTTGTGTGTGTCTCTCTCTATGTATATATATGGAGATGGAGTGGAGATGCAGACCCTGCAGACGTGCTTCCACATGCGCGCACCAACGACGAATCCGACAGCCAAGACTGAGGGCGCAACGAGTGCATGGATGGATGGATCGCCTGCGCCCTACCTCCCTGCTTGCCTTGCCTGGTCAGGATCCATGCATCTTCTGCTTCATTTGTGGTGGAACCTTGCCATTGCCAAGCGGATGGTGCCCTTATATTTTCTAAGATTTGTCCTAAAAAGAAACGATAATATTAACATTCTTAGGGGCGGCTGGTTTAACAACACTTCAATCTAGCCCAATACAAATGGATCGGGATGGATTAAAGTGTACTCAAACAAGGCCTTCGGTGGCCGCTGATGTATCCGTCCATGATGACATGGCTGCAATGATAGAACCGGTCTCAAGACCCGTCCCCACAAGTTAAACCTCGAATGGATTAGCGCCAGGTGTGCTGGAAAAAACGACCTAGCCAGTTTTGAAGACTTTCTTAAATCAATAATTTGACTTTACTATTGTGTAGCCCTCGCGGAGACGATAGAAATGCAGATGTAGGATGCCGAATTTGGAGACCAGATGAGAGAATTCCAGGCCAATTTCCTAAACCGGCCACGCCACCTTTGAGCTTTGACAGGTAGATCTGAGTTAGGAGTTGTATTTTGACACGGGATTTGTAAAACTTTTGACTTCTAATGGAGCACAAGACTTTCCCACCTACACATGAAGGGCCACCAACGCTATTATTTATTGTTCTACAAACTCCTCAGGTCGATGACGTTTATGGGCGGTTTAGGTGGCCTTCCAACTCTAGAACAACCCTTGGTGCGACTTCCCGATGAGCTCCTTCCTGGGAGGGTTCTTAGTTTTTTTTTCCCCCACAGGTCTAACTGGTTTTCTTGGGTTTGCTGCGAGTCAATCATCGCGCGATTCAAGCGATCTACCTCTTTTAGTGTGGAACCAGATTAGTGCCAAGACACTTTTGGCGACTGCGTTGGGGATGGGTAAATCGGCCACTATGGACGGTAAGATACATGTCTCTTTAATTTCGAGATTGGTCCCAAAAGCATCGTAAGGACGACTTTTTTTAGAGATGCTATCGGGCGAGGATCATATGGCCTTTGAAGATATCAAGAAGATCATCCAAGAAGAGGCAGGTCAACAATGGCAAAAGCATGGATATGTAAGAGGTTATTTTAATATGTCAAATGTGGCAATAAGTAGAGGGCGCAAAGGGTTGACCTTCAATCAACTTTAGCTCCTTGATTAGTTCTAAGTTTGCGTAGTGGACGATCAAGGAGAAGGAAATTGTAGGATCTGATTCCATGGCAAGAAGGTGAGGATATAGACATCAGACGATGCACGACTAATGCTAGTACTTGAAATCAACAAACAAGCTAGCGGCGAGTCCCAGCGCGGCGCGGAAGCCCCTGCCGGGCGGGATGACGGCACGCTCGAGGCCGGTGGCGTCGTCGACGAAGCGTCCGCGGTCGCCGAGCGCACCGATGGCCCCGAGGCGGGTGAAGAGGATGAAGAAGAGGAGGAGCGGCGCGGCCTCGGTGATGGGGATCCCGGTCTCGAGGTTGAGGTGCGCCAGGATGCCCTTCCCGGTGACGGCCTCGCCCAGGAGGGAGGCGGCCGACGAAGAGCTCGTTCTCCTTGATGCCCGGGCTGCAAGGAATTCAAAATACTAGTAATAAATAGTTAATGATGACAGAGATGGCCAATCAGCTCGAGGCCCATGGGCTACCTCATGGCCTGTTATTTTCGCCACGGCCCGACACCTATTGTGCCTGTGTCAGCCCAGTGTGCTTGGACTACTCTCTCGGCACAACGTCGTCTTCCTCCTCCGATCCCCTCTTGTCGTGGTTGCGTCCCCATCCTCTTGTACGTGTGTACATGCATGTACATGAACTATGAATTCGGAGCATACATTTATAGATCTTGACCTAAAATTTATGCCTTTTTTCTTTGTTGAGTTAGTCGGCCTACATAGCACGGCTACTGTAGAGTATTCAAGCTTGGGTCCTTGCCTAGGCTACCTGACCTGATGTGTGTTGCGTGCCTTATCAGATCCATGCCATGTTGGATCGGTTTGCTTCTTTGGCCGTCTATATATAAAGGAATGGGAGGGGAGCGTGAGAGACACGTAGGAAGGCTTATTTCTACAACAAATCTAGCTACCAGGGGCATGCATGGAGTACTTAATAGTATTATACCCAAATGGATGATGGACCCTGCATCCTAAAATACAAAGGCTAGAAATTCAAATTTTTTACCAAAATACAAGATATCCTGGATCCTTAACCTCCTCTCTACTTTTTTTTTGGCCAAGATGTATTGAGATTCTTTCTAACTTATTAGCTTCATCCAAAACAATCAGTTAGTAAATAAGGAAAATAACAACTGAACTACTCCCCTCTATTCTAATTAATGAGGGGCAAAGTGGTCTTTGTTAATCTTCTTATTCTTTTATCCAAATATCGTTAGGATACTTTATATTTCATGGCGGAGGGAGCAGTTAGTATACCGGTTTACAACTACCGAGCCTCTGTATTTCCATGAACAAAGCACCACCTATCCTACTCAAAGAGTCGTTTATATATGTATATATATAACTTTTGCGTAGAAAAAAAATAACGAATGGGTTCCATGGTGTAGTGGTTAGCACTCCAGACTTTGAATCTGGCGACCTGGGTTCGAATCCCGGTGGGACCTTTATCTGTTTTATTTTGTTTCTCTGTTTTATTTCCCATCTTCTTCCCCTTCGTTAGTGTTATCTTTCTTTTTTTTGATAGAAATAAAAATGAAAAACACCTACTCCATGTAGACACGGTCAGCCAAAGCGGCTAAATATACACGGTATATACGATCCGTGGTTGAACGACTGAAGCACTTCCCTACCAAGGCACGGTGTTGCAACTGCTCCAGTTTTCAGCAGGGGCAGGGGCAGGGGGCAGGCCAGGCACCAGCCATGAGCATTATTGAGCTCGCTGGAGTCCCGTACTCCCGTGCACGGGCCGTGTGCGTGTGTACTACAACATCGCGCTCCCTCTTGCCCAATAGCTACCTTTCATGCATGGATCAAGGTTGCACCATCAATTAATTTCGCCAAATCACATGCTAGAGAGCGATTTCGATGTTGGTACCCACAAATTGATCCGGTAGGATTAGACGATTAGTACATCTTGGAGCACAACGTACAGATGCATGGATCAAGACAAGAGAACATTTAATTTGTTCAACAAACATTTTCTAGTGTGAACTTTATGGAACATTTAATTTAATTTGTTCGACAGACATGCGCGCATATTAGTTAGATTAAAGGAAAAAATCCGTTTTTGACCCTCCAACTATAGCAACAATTTGGTTTTAACCTCCAACTCTAAAAAACCAGATACCCATGGGCCCTTAACTCTCAAAACCGTTTAAATTGGCCCGCGCGCCCATTCGTCAGCGGTTTTAGCCGATCAACCCGCCGCGACCGCGGTTTTGGCTGAGTCCTCTTCCCTTCGCGACTACTATTGCGCGAGTCAACGAGAGAGAGAGCGTGCGGGAGAGAGAGAGAGAGAGAGCGGCAGGGCAGAGCGGAGAGGGCACTGGCACTGGCGCGGCGGCGGTCCTGGGGCCTCGGCGGAGCAGGCTCCGCCATGAGCTGGGCGGCAACGGCGCTCGGCATGGAGTCGGGTGAGCGGCCTCCTGCGGTGCTCGTCCTCGCCCGCCTCGGCGTCGCAGAACCGGCCACGGCGGCCAGCACAGGCAGCGCTAGCCATGGCTGCTGCTGCTACTCGCGCCATGGCTGCTGCTCCTGCTGCTCGCGCCATGGCTCGCTGCTCGCCCGCGCGGGCCCCGCGTCCTGCTCGCCGCTCGCCTGCGCCGCCGCGGTGCCCTGCTCGCTGCTCGCCCGCGCGGCGCCGACACCCCGCTCGCCACTCGCCTGCGCCGCCGCAGTGCCCTTTCGCTGCTCGCCCGCGCGGCCACGTCCTGGGCTGGAGCTTCGCCATGGAAGGCGCAGTGGCCGCATGCGGATTTGCACAGCTTGGCTGTAGCGGAGGCGGCCTTGGCATCGGCGGCGACGGCGAGCGCGAACAGCGTGCGGAGACCGGACGTACGCCGATGCGGGAGGCGAGCGCGCAGGTGGCTTCGAGCGAGGACTCGAACTCGAACTCCGTGTCCAGCTCCGACGCCGGGTCCACGGGTGGAGGCGGCAGCGGCGGGGCGAGCGCGGGCGCGGAGTGGTTCCTGAGCGCCCGGATGGCGTGCGCGCGCGCGTGGCCGGCAGGGGAGGAGGAGGAGGCGCGGTGTGCGACGACGGTGAGCTTGGGCGCGGCGGGCGCGAACTGCAGCGACGGGTGCGCGAGGTCGGTGGTTGAATGAGGTGGCGAGCAGACGGTTGCCGGCGCTCAACCCGATCACCGACCGAAACTCCGAAAGTGATAGCGCCTCCGCCGCCTCCTCTGCTCCCTCTTCTTCCTCCTCCTCTCCTCTGCTCTCTGCTCTGCCGCCGTCGCCGCGCCCTGCTCCACCGCCGTCCAGGCGCTCCAGCGGCCGCTCAGGGGCCCCGGCTGGTGCTGCAGCAACACCGACGGCAACGGCTTCTTCGGCGACGCCTTATTCGACCCGGACGTCTGGGTGGACGGCCTCACCAAGATGGCCACCATGTTCGCCGCCGTCCCCAACGTCGTCGGCATGAGCCTTCGGAACGAGCTCAGGGGGGCCAGGCAGAACGCGAACGACTGGTACAAGTAAGCACTCAAAGCTGTTCATACCACATGTTTTTCTCTGACTCTGAGGATGCAAATACGATCAGTGCAAGTAGAACACTGGATAATCCTGGTTTTACTGTACTAGCTCCTCTGTCATGGGTGTTAATACCCGTAAATGAACGACCTGGCCTTCCTCAACTCGCGGCCGGTGAACCTCAGCTTCACCGGGAAGGTGGCGTTCGAGGTGCACTGGTACAGCTTCTCCAACAGCCCCGAGTGGAGCTCGGGCAACGCCAACCAGGCGTGCGCGCGCATCACGGCCGGCATCACCCACCGCGCCTTCTACCTGCTCGACAAAGGCTGGCCCGTCATCCTCAGCGAGTTCGGCGTCGACAACCGCGGCGTCAACACCAACGACAACCGCTACTACGGCTGCGCCGCCGCCGCCGCGGCCGACCTGGACCTAGACTGGGCGCTGCAGGGGAGCTAATGCCTCCGTGAGGGCGTGCTGGGGCTGGACGAGGTCTACGGCGTCCTCGACTGGGCCTGGTGCAGGCCGCGCAACGCCACCGCGCTGCGCAGGATCCAGGCGCTCAGGCGGAACACCGTGCTGTTCCACCCGGTGTCCGGGATGTGCGTGGTGGTGCGCCGCCGGTTGCCGACGCTGACGCAGCCCCTTGAGCTGGGCCTGGGCCCCTGCAACGAGACGGAGGCGTGGGAGTACAGCGCGCAGCAGCAGCGGCTGGCGCTGCGGGGCACCGCGCTGCTGTGCCTCCGCACCGAGGGCGCCGGCAGGCCCGCGACCCTCGGCGTGAGCTGCGGCGACGCGATGGCGAAGTGGAGCCTCGTGTCTGACTCCAAGCTGCACGTCGCCGTCAACGCGACGTCGTTGGCCGGGAGCGACGGCATGCTCTGCCTGGACGTGGGCGCGGACGGCCGGAGCGTGGTGACCAACCCGTGCCGGTGCCTGAGATTGGACAACAGCTGCGACCCGCAGGGCAGTGGTTCAAGCTCGTGAGCAGCACCAGGAGCGTGGCCACCAAGCAGACCATGCTCAAGCAGCTGCCGCCCCCTGCTCTGTTTCCCCCCGCTCCGCTCTCGCTCTCTACACGTTGAACTCGGCTGAGGAGAGGGAGGGGATGACAGTGGTCCCAACTGACGGGTGAGAGGGAAAGGCTGACAGGCGGGGTTGTGGCGGGTTAATTTGTTGAATGGGCGCAGGGCCAATTTTAAACGGTTTTGAGAGTTAAGGGACTGCTTGGGTGTCTTGTTTTTGAGTTGGAGGCTAAAACCAAATTGATGCCATAGATTTGGGGCCAAAACGGACTTTTTCCTAGATTAAATCAATGCTTAAAGTTTCTTGAAATTTCTTAAAATCAACTAAATTTTAACAAAAATGTGTATTGTCGGTCAACTAACAAAGGAAATATCATATTTTTGCTCCGCATACTAAGGTTTGGGGTACATGTCCTATTCCCATCAAATGTGAGACGCTAGGTATATTCCTCATAAGGTTCAACTAGAAATTTTTGTACTCCCTCAGTGCTAGCAAGGATATATAATTCTAGGTCTGGTTCAAGTCAAGAACTACTTTCATTTTAATTAAATTTATAACTTTAAATAGATGTAACATGAAAATATATTCCATTTTTAATATAACAATACACGTTTAGTATGTTAACTATTAGTATCTTTTATAGAAATTTGATCAAACTTAGGAATATTTGAATGAACACTATTCTAGAATTGCATCGTTTCTATGAGGAAGGTAGTTCCTAGAAAATAGATGTAATGTGCAAGATACAATCGATAGACATGTACTATATAATACTTCTCTTTCCAAATTGTAAGAGCGTTTTGGCTTTTCTAGATAATTATGCGTTTAATATGTATCTAGACATAGTGTATATCTAAGTCCCTAGCAAAAGTTATGTATTTAAAAAAGTCAAAATGTTTTACAATTTTGTGATACTCTCACCAACATATAACTATATAAAGCAGTATAGAAATAGATTAGACACACATGACATATCTCCACATCTTCATTACAACATTTTATTACAACTTTATAACAATTAACTCAACATGATTAAAAGGTTCTAATTATGATCAAAATGCTCCATGGCACAACCACATATACTTAATCTCACGTTTCCTTTCTAGTGAACAAGCTAGTGCATGTTAGCACCCACAAGGCTCACCAAAGAGCACTACGAGACCTCTCAATAAGTTATCATACCTCCAACACATTCTCTTATTCAGAGTGAACGCTTGTGCAATGAGGACAACATTCATAGCTTTTAACTACAAAATCATCTTGGTGCGTCACCTTTTGTAATCTGCACCATCAAATCTAGTATGTCGTTTCAACGTAGAAGCAAAACTACTAACATAAAAGTTTCTTATTGTTTTTTATTGTTAATTTTTTAAACAGATTCTACAATAAATACACAAGGTAAATCATGCCATAGCTCATAACACAATGCATTGTAACTAGTACACAACAGAGGGAACACTAATCATACCCATTAATCATACCCATTATCAAATGTAAATGATATAATATATATATATATATATATAATAGATGTAAACGGTACACAAAAGATGCATCAAATTACTTGGTGGAGTTATGTGACATGTGTCTATGAAAGTATCCAGATTTCGGTGATCTTGGATTCTACAGAAAACTTATTTAGAGGTCTATCCATCCCAACTAAAAACAAACTTCAAGACCACCATTTGCAAGTGTTTCTCTCTTTGGTTTAGTTGGTTTGAGCACCGAGACTTGTCAACACACTCAACGTTTCATCCCTCTTAATAGTATGACAAAATATACTCAAGATCAAAGACAACTGTTTCAACCTCTTGAGTTTGCATGACTCTACAGATGTCATTTCTTCACAATATGTCTTCACAATGTTTTGCTATTCATTTTCTTGCAATAGTATTGGGTAACAACTTGGTTTCTTTCTCCATGCTAATGTGCTTTTAGTCATAAGTCTTATTTTTGCAATTAAGGACTATATACATTAGTGTGCTCGTGACTAAGGACATGTTTAGTGTGATGGCCCTAACGATTTGATCTTATTGTCATTCTTTTAGTTCTAGGGTTTGAGTCGTGCAAGGGGTGAGTAGAATTGCATAGGCTAAGGCGTGTTGCTTTAATTTTTTTAGAGCCTAGTTCACGCACTCTCTTGAGCCATTTATCAAATGTAAATGGTACACTAGATGTATCTGGTGCACCAAGGAATGTATCAAAGAACTTTGTGGGCGTACGTGGTTCACATAAGAGAAAGAAATGACATAGGCGTCCGAAGAGAGATGGGGAGATAATAGTAAGTAGTAATGCTAGATTGGTGGGATAGATTACCATGTCACGTCCGCGCCGAGCTCCATGGCTCGTACTTGTGCTAATACTAGTTGATATACAAGAAGGTTTTGAATACATAAACCTAAAGTGGTATGTGGCAATGGTTGTAGCTATATTCCAAGACACCTTGGGTTATAATTTACAATGGGTCGCTCTTAGCTAGCAAATATCATGACCATGTGACAGCTAGGATGCAACGGGCGGTGACACCTTTAGTCGATATAAGGCACTATGACAATTTTTTTATGAAACAGGAGGGGTTTGACCCCCTACTGAAATTTTATTAAAAATAGAGAACAAAGTTTGGCGCTATGACAATTCAAAAAGAATATGATTTGGAGACCATTTGAAGATGTATTCTTGATAGATTTGCTAGTACAAACAAGGTGTGCCTACCAATCTTTTTGTTCGTGTTCCCACATAGTACTCTCCCCATTTGAAAATAGTATAAAACAAAATTTGACTCATCACAATCTTTGAAATTGAACTTTGCCCTACAAAACCATCATAGTATAAGATAGTACTTTTAAATATGGATACTTTTTTATGTAATTTTGTATACCAAGGTCGACATCTTGTAAGGCTATCTGTAAGTGTTTATATGACTTTCAAATCTGGAAATGCATGTGCGTCTTGTACTTGCCTTCGTTTTTATTTATTTGACACTAATATAAGTTACCATAGCGTTTTTTTACCGTTTGTTTCTCTACTTGTCTACTTTTCATAGCTAAAAAAATGCAAGGTTATTAATGTATGTTTGGCCACAAATTATATGATACAAGAAAACATTTGTTCAAAATTATTTGAAAAGGTAAAAAAAAATTGGTCAAAGTAAATGGAAACAGAGGCATTAAGAAAATACAAGAATGGAGTAAGTTTCAAGCAATATATATATATACTACAAATGCCCCGCGCATATATTTGTTTGCTTGTTACAAACAATGGACATAGTAGAGAAGAAAAGAAATGGACTAGAGTTTGTCGTCAGGGTGGCATGCACAAGGCAGAAGAAGAAAGACGAGAGCAGTCAAAATAAGTAAGATGTACTGCTGGATTAGTACAAACAACAAACAAACCACCTCCTTCCTATTCGCTTGTATGTAAGAGAAAAAACATGGGCCAAAAATCTACTAATCCAAAATGAAAATTGAAGGCGGAAAGAGAGGGAAAAAAGAGGGCAGGCGTGTCTGTTTCTCTTCCGGCGGCCTCCCTCAATTCCTCGTCTCACCATCCATCCAGCCCAGCCCCAGCCTGTCTATATAATATATATCCATCTCTTGCACTGCCTTCCCTCTCTCCGAATCTCCTCCTCCTCCTCCTCCCTCCGCTTCGCCAAACCCTAGTAGTACTCGATCAGAAGACAATGGCGCCGCAGCCACCGCTTCCTCCCGCCAACGGCGACGGCGACAGCATCGTCGACCGCGACGTCTGGCTCGCCTGCGCTGTCCCGCTCTCCCGCCTCCCCACCGTCGGCGCCGAGGTCTACTACTTCCCGCACGGCCACGCCGAGCAGTGCCCCGCGCACCTCCCGGCGCCGCTCCCCGCGCCGCACCTCTTCCCATGCACCGTCACCCACGTCACCCTAGGCGCGGACGACAAGACCAACGAGGTGTTCGCCAAAATCTCCCTCAGCCCAGGCCCCCACCGCGGCGCTTCTCGTCCCGACCCCCCCACCAGCGACAACAGCCCGCCGCAGGAGATCATGCTCAGCTACTTCACCAAGGAGCTCACGCAGAGCGACGCCAACAACGGCGGCGGCTTCTCCGTCCCGCGCTACTGCGCCGACCACATCTTCCCCGCGCTCGACTTCGACGCCGACCCGCCCGTGCAGAACCTCGTCATGCGCGACACCAGGGGCAACCCCTGGCAGTTTCGCCACATCTACCGCGGCACGCCGCGACGACACCTGCTCACCACCGGATGGAGCAGGTTCGTCAACGCCAAGCTGCTCGTCGCGGGGGACATCGTCGTCTTCATGCGCCGCGCCAACGGCGACCTCATCGTCGGCCTGCGCCGCACGCCAAGGTACGCGCTCGTCTTCCCAGGGGCCGCCGACCCGGACCATCAGCCCCCGCCCCAGCCCCGCAACGCGCGCGCGCGGGTGCCGCCCCAGGACGTCATGGAGGCCGCGCGCCTCGCCGCCGAAGGCAGGCCCTTCACCGTCACCTACTTCCCGAGACAGGCCGCCGGGGAGTTCGTCGTCCCGCGCACCGAGGTGGAGGGCGCGCTCGCCACCCGCTGGGAGCCAGGCACGCAGGTGCGCATGCAGGTCATGGAGGCCGAGGACACGCGCCGCACCGTGTGGGCCGACGGCCACGTCAAGGCGCTCCACCAAAACATCTGGCGAGCGCTCGAGGTCTGAATTCGCGTCTCGTCTCTCTCGTCTTCCTTCTATAGTTCCAATTGCCATTGACCTGATGACCTGCGTGTGTTGTGTTCACCGGAATCACCGACCGCCTACTGCCATTATGCTAATGATGCGATTCACCTTCCCCCACCACCTTGTTGTTGTTGGTACGCTTCCCTTAATTAATTACTTATTAGTATTATTAAGTACTAGTACAAAGCTAGTATCATTAGAACAATCTTGACCTGTAGTAGCTTTCAAGCCAGTCGCTCGTGCTAAACAGATTTTGTTGTTTTCG